TTTGCTCAGTCGCATGATGATCTCGAGAAGCAATTCTTGGGGGAGAGTATCCATTCTGCTTGAAAAGGTTGAAATGAGATTTGCAGTGAGAATCCTGGATGTTTAAGGGCTCAAAAGAGGTGGCAGGTCGTGGCATGAAGTGGCTTGGACGGGCCAAGAATTACGACTTGACGCCGGGGCTCGCCAGCAATACGCCACCAACTGCCGCCACAATCTGGCACTTAAAAGGCACTCAGGGGGGAGGATTCCCTTCATTTCACAGCAACTGCAAGTGGGAGGATATGGATCAGAGCGCACCTGCAACAGTTGCTCATAGACGGCGCCTTTGCCTCTGCAAAACAGCACGGCCTTGCTTTGGATTTCAAGGAGACAAGCCCTCCCGTTGTTTGAATTGTAAGGTCGAGGGCATGATCGATGTCAGGAACAAGAGATGTGCATGCAAACGAGGGCGACCAAACTTTGGGCTTCAAGGCGAGAGGCCGACCCGTTGCTTTCACTGCAAGCTGGACGGGATGATTGATCTCACGCATACTAAGTGTAATTGTGGAAACAGTCGACCAAGTTTCGGATTCGAAGAGGGCCAACCCACCCACTGCGCACGCTGCAAGGCCGAGGGAATGGTCGACCTCGTTCACAAGAAGTGCTTTTGTGGAAAACGGGTGCCTAGCTTCGGTTTCAAGTGGAGACGACCTACCCATTGTGCCAAATGCAGAACAGCAGACATGGTCGACGTCGTTAACAGAAGGTGCTTCTGCCAGAGGGGGGTTCCAAGCTTTGGCCTCAAGGACGGCTTACCCACCCATTGTGCGCAGTGTAAAACTGAGGCCATGGAGGACGTCACGCACGCAAAATGCCTTAATGGTTGTGGAACAATCGTACAGAATCGCAACAAGGGTTATTGTGTGCGGTGCTTTGTGTTCCTCTTCCCCGACGAGAAGGTCTCTCGGAATTACAAGATCAAAGAGAAGCACTTTGTCGACTACATAAAGGCAGCAGATATCCTCCCAGACACGCCCCAGGTGACCTTCGACAAGAGGCTCCAGGGTGGGTGCTCGGCTCGTAGGCCAGACATCTTCGTTGATGTGTACACCCACACCGTGCACTCGGAGTGCGACGAGAACCAGCACTCCGTGGGCAGCTACTCCTGCGACAACAAAAGGCTCATGGAGCTTTTTCAGGATGCTGGCAATAGGCCCCAAGTGCAGTTGCGATTCAACCCTGACAGCTTCACATCCGCAAGCGGCGTCAAGCACCCCAGCTGTTTCAAGTACAACAAGACAGGACTGCCCGTCATCAGGAACCAGGCCAAATGGGAAGCCAGAATGAAAGTGTACCTTGAGCGGCTGACATACCACCTTACGCACGTGCCTGACTGGGAAGTGACCGTTGAGCACCTGTTCTATGATGGTTTCGACTACCACGCAGAGGACATGTCCGGCAAAGCTGGACGGAAGCGCAAGCGTACCTAGAACGTACCCCTTATATTGCTGCAAGACTACTCTTGGTTTAGGGAGTCAATTGGTGGACTCTGATAGAACAATGATCCATGCTGTGCGTAGTCCAGCTGCTTTTCTAAGCCGCTAAAGGAGCCGCAGCAATGGACGTAGTTCGTGAAGGATTCGTGTATGCAGCAAGATCAATTGGCTCACCTGTTGTGAAGGTCGGCATGACTACTCACCGGAATCCAGACTCTTATATTCGAAGGCGGTACGCAGGTCTAGTAGAGTTGGAGAACCTGATTGCCGTCTCAGATGCACCTAATGCGGAACGCCTTTGTCATTTTAGGCTCAGGCCTTTTCGATTTGAGTCCTTCACATCGAAAGAGCTCTTCATCAATACCCCACCATCAGACGAGATCCAAAAGCTATTCGAGTGGGCTGCAGCCCTTGTCAACCATCCTGACAAGCTACGAGAATATGCCAGCATCCACAACATCACACTCGAAGGTGACAGTGCAAAGCGCTGGGTCAGGCCAAAGCACTCCACGTTTGACTCGGATGACGATTAGGTTGTAAAGAGAGGCCTGATTTCATTCAAAGACTGCTCCAAGATGTTGTAGCATTCAAAATAGATGTGTACTGTACAGCCCTCCACGTCAATCTCAGAAGTCAGATTAAGCTCCAAGAAGTTCCGAGTCAATGAGAAGTCAAACGCACCTGTGGGCTGATCAACGAACGGGCTCTCATAGGACGACTCCGCAGGACCCCAGGGGTATAGCTGCATCCCTTTGGTGGATCGGCTGTAAGGAACATCAGCCGGTCGCAGAGCAAAGGAGTGTGAATACACACCGGGCATGCTGGCTGACCCGTACAGATATGGGTTAACTAGGTTGCTGTACGTGCTATCCACTCTCTCCCCAGTGTCTGGGTTGGAGGGGGCTCGAGACATGAGGTCGTAGCCCTCCAGGATGAGCCGCGAAGAGAGCACGCTGTTAGGGATGACTTCATTAGGGTCATCAGAAGCAGTGACAAGCCACAGAAGCCGCCTCACAGGCTTGTTGCATGTGAGCTCAATCCGCTGGACGGGCGAGTTCGCATCAACAGCATGGTCCTGGTGAAGATTCTGCTGATAGAGAGACTTTGAAGGGCCCGAACGGATCAGTGCAAAAGCAACCTTTGGATCGAGCCAAACATTGTCAGTCAGCACCGAGATGCGGGGCTGCAGCCTGACATCATCAGCAGGGGCAGGTTGGACTATTGAGCTGAGCTTGCTCAGCTTTAGCCTTATAATTGCTTCAGCAGTAATGAGGCTTGCTAGCGGGAATCCGTTGCTGACCTGAGCCCTTGCAAACCAGAATGGGATGGGAACATGCAGCACTTTGTGTGTTGTGGCCTCACCATCCTGGATCTCTGCCTCACTGTCCAGCATACCGGGAACTGACACACCATTCGGCATCTCGCCAAACTTTGAATACTCGTTGTGTGCATTTGACATGACAGCTTTGACGAGCATGTGTAGGCCGGTCATCTGGTCGAGTTCAATACCCGCCACTGAGATGGAAATAAGATCAATCAACTTGTACCCCAGGTCGCTCACGTACGAATACTCACTATTTAGCTCTGGCAATTCTATCACAAGCATCATGCCTACGATGAGATCACCAGAGCGTTGCAGTGGGCATCTGAAGATAGGCTGCACATCATCGTTGCTGAACACTGGTTGAGGCTCACTGAAATCATTCACCACAGGGTCTTTGGCAAAGGCATCGTAAGTCCTCCAGGTGCGTTGTCCAGTTGAAAAACATGAATGAGTTGGCTCTACAGTTGTATGTACATCCTGGGCACCCTTGGCCAGCAACTGAATGAAAGTTCCAAGGCTAGTTGTTGCTTCCATACCCTACTCAGAGGGCCAGTTCCTTTTTCCAGTGATACGTACCCACTTCCAGCAGCCTTGCCAACTTCACCCTGCATCGAAAGCTATAAGGCACGGGCTCCGTAGGTTCTGCCTTGCGCTTCTGGGACGTCCGTCCCTCACACCGCACCCTGACAATCTCCTGTAGTGCTTCCTCGATCTCGGCCTCAGTGACATTCAACTTGAAGTCGATGTGGAAAAGGAACTCCACTTCCAGGAGGTTGAGCTCAAGCACAGAGACCCCTCCCACCTCAGCAAAGTAGGCGTTTCCATAGCACCTGCAGTTGGTGGAGTAAAGTCAAGAGGTGCACGTCTCCTTGCCAGGCCCGGGCGAGTAGAGACAAGTGCGCGCTGAGCGGCCCTGACTGTACCCCGAACGGCGCTGCCTGAAGATCGACGGCTAACCACAAAACTCCGTATGTAATGAGTTTCCTTGATAGCCGTCGATTTGCCCGAATGCGAAGAAGGTTAGCGATTCCGGGACACCGGATGCCAACAAGGAAGAAGCGGCACCCTTTTAGGGTTTCAAGAGACTCACTGATCGTCGAAAAATTTGCAGCTCAGCAGCAGGGCGGTGAGGAGCAGGCGGTGGATGTTGAAGGCCGAAAGGTGCACCCGCTCCTTCCTGTTGAGAAATCTGAGAATGTACACACATGCCCCTATCACTGCCACTGGACAGAGGTCGAGATAGCGGCTTAAGTGCTTTCCGTACTTTTGAACTGAAACAGTGGCAGGGCGTTTGCCTTCAAAGATTGACATGCTGGACTCTGGGGTTGTCCCACTACGAGACAGCTGCGCCCAGCGCTCGCAGCAGCACGTCAACAGCTTCTCGCTGGCAGAAGCCTCCAGCTCAACCGGGATTTCAAACTTGCTGGCCCCCGGCCCCATGCAGAGCTGCCTGATGCGGTGAAGCCAGTTCAGGTATGGGCCGTCCTCCATCATGGTGGATATGGTGGTCTTTGTCAAGGGTTATAGAAAAATGATAAAGTTTGGTGGACCTACCTGAAGGTATTTTTGGCAACCGGCAGCTGGTGGCGTGAATGGCGGCTGGTGGCGATCCAGCTGGCAACCGGTGGCAGGCATGCTGACTATAAAAGGGTCGAAAGATGCTCACAAATCATAAAACACAATCCAGCAATTCAGACCAAGAGCAGCAGCAGGAAGCCGCCGATTCCTTCACAAGCAAGCTCCGGTGAAAAAGGTGAGCCACCATCCCGCTCTGCTTTCGTTGTCTTTTACAGAAGAAACCTTACATACATACATATCGGCAACTCTTGGGAAAGTCCAAGACTCTTATACTACAATCTGTTATATTTTCTTTCTTCTCCAGGGAAGGAATTATAACAGATTATT